GGAGGACCAGTGAGATGGCTCAGTGGATATAGGTGCTGGCTGCCAAGGTTGATGCCCTGAGTCGGATCCTTGGGACCCACAAGGTGGAAAGAGAGAACCAATTCCCATGAATTGTCCTCCAACTTCCACACCCAAACACATTGGCACGTGTGCAATACACATAGACTAAATAAATGCAATTTAAAAACTAAAACAAAGTTCCCTTTAGTAGTAGATGTGTAAAGAACAGTTACAGCAAGGCAGTGAGAGGACCCAATTTAAAAATGGACAACGGGTCCCATTGGGTATTTCTTGAAGACACATTACAGCTAGAATTGTGTAAACAGATGTCAACATCAGCCCTAGGGAAACGAAAAGCAAAACCACAGTACCACAATTCCTTAACACCCCCATGAGTATACTATCACCCTTCTTCTTGTACTATGGCTCAACTACCCCTCTGGAGCTTTCTCCTCCCCACCCCCTCACTCGTCTCCCTGGCTCACTCCTGTTTGCCCTTCAGTGTCTCTTGAGACCCCTCTTCCTGGAAACTTCCCCTGGCTTCATCCCCACTCTTCATTTCATTTCTTTGAGATTTGTTTTTCCTTTCCCAGGATCCCAGAACATCTGTGTTGACCTTGGTGACAGCCTTTAGCATGTTATGTCACAACCCCACATACACAGACAATACACACTCCTGGCTAAGAGTCACCATCTCTGGACAGACTGACTCATTCTGAGCGTCCCATACCCAGCACGTGGAATGACAAATAGGAGGTGACCAGCAAATGATCTGTCTGTGATTTGCAGAGACAACTAGTCTGACCAAAGTCATAGACAATGAAGTTGGCACAAAAACAAAACAAAAATATTGCATGCCTTACAAATGCCAAACGGAGAAGAGGATTCCATGAACCTTACAAAGGCCAACCCATGAGGATGAACGACTCCCAGAAAAGGGGAGGCATGGCAGAAGGTAATGGAAGGCTCAGGGCAGAGAACAGAATGTGGGAGACCTGGATTCCATCTAAAGAAAAGATAAACAACTGGGCATGTTTTCACCCTCAAGACAAGTCCAGGCTACCCAGGCAGGATGGCCGCCATGCTTGATCACATATTTGCAACCGTGTCTTCTGTAAAAGGTAGTCAGTCCACCGGTCCAGGTTTTCACACAGGGAGCTGAGCTAAACATTAGCAGAACCAATGAGAAAGGGGGTTCAAAAGAAAATGCCAGGCTAACACTTTATAAAAAACTAAAACCGCTAAAGGGAGCTTTATGATTCTTCCTCGTGCTCAAAAGTACCTAATGAGAGCCGAGAGCTACAACTTACTTGGGTGCCAAGGATGGCAGCAAAGCCCTTATTACATAATGCCACTTAATCTTAGGGATGCTTTTTGCAGAACACACCAGAAGTCATCTTTATTGATACTGTCTCTAAATAGATACTTGGCAACATTCAGTTTAATGTGTTCTACAGAAGAAAAACCCAGTGTTTGTTTTCCAAGGTGGCAGAAAATGAATGTGTGCTAATATCCTCGAGTCTATTTTTTTTATCTTTATTAATTTTTCTTGTTGGTGTGACACTTGACTTACAAGTTCTGATTATTTTTTTAACCTGTCATTTTCTAAGAAACATGTTTTACAAATACAGAATTTCCTGTATGTTGTTTCAGTTGAATCCCGTAAGTTTTGATAAGAGATTTTATAGTTTATTTTAAATTAGATTTGCTTTGCTTTTACATCTGAGAACATGGAAAAATATTTTAAACTCCTCACGTGGAGGGGTGTGTGTGTGTGTGTGTGTGATTGTGAGAGTATGTGTGTGTGTGTGTGTGAGTAAGTGAGTGTGGAGTGTGAGAGTGTATGTGAACGTGTGTGTGAATGTGTGTGATTGTGAGAGTATTTGTGTGTGTGAGTGAATGTGTGTGAGAATGTATGTGAATGTGTGTGATTGTGAGTGTGTGTGTGTGTGTGTGTTTGTAGAGGCCAATGACTTTCTCTATCACTCTCCACTTCATTTTGTGAGACCAAGTCTTTCACTGAGCCTGGGGCATGTTTCAGCTACAAACCCGGAATATGCCTGTCTCTGCCCTTGACCCCCACTCCAGGGCTACAGAAGTACACTGCTGCACCCCGATTTTATGAGGATGCTGAGAACTTGGACTCGGACCCTCATTCCTGCACAACAAACCTTTACCTACTGAGTCATCTCCCCAGGCTCTGGTTCTCTGGTGTTTTCCTTATTTTATTGTATTTTTTAATTTTACATCATTGGTGTTTTCTTGAGACCTCTTGCTTGCTATGGAGTCTAGGCTGGTCTGCAATTGGCTCCGAAGCCTCAGCTGATGTAGACCTTCAATCTTACGGCCTTAGTCTACCAAGTGTGGGGAATTACAGGCATCACTGCCACACCCATTGTAGCGTTTCTCATATTATCGCAAGGGAACATAAGCACAGGGACATATATATGTATGTCTTAGGTGGAGCTTAACTCCCCCGGGCTGTTCCTTGCAGATAGCAGCGCTGGAATGTTAACGGGAATTTCGCACAGCTACGGTTTGTGTTGACTAACCCTGTACCATGGACCACTCTCCTCTCTTTCACGTCTCAGCATCTGCATTTCCTTCTCCCTCTTGCTCTGTCTCCCTTCTCCCTCCCCCTCTCCCACTGCATCTGATGAAGTATTCCCCACAAGACTTCTGCTGAGCCCGCCTCCAGGGGCCTTCCTCCTGAGAAATTGGGTGGCTGTGTCAATGCCTCTGAAGGCTATTTTTACACTCGTGTTTGTCCGGAGTCTGACGTGGTTTATCACAGTCTCTCCCAAAGGCCCATTGTTCAGCACTCCAAGAAGAATGTTGTTATATGGACTGCTAGTGCGTCAGCCCGGCTCTCTCTGGAGCAGCTCTTGGATGGAATTAGACAATTTCCATTAGGAGACCGTGCGTTATTAGTCCCTGGTGCCAAACTGGAGAATGAGCCAAGATGACTATTTCTGGCCAGGCTCACCTCAGGAAGGAACCTTCTTGGCTTTAATGGGATTTTGCTATTGTTGGTTGCCTTCTGTTTGACACCAGGCCAGCCGAAGCTTGGAAATTGTTTAGAAAGCTGCATGAAATATAATAGAGCCCCAGCCATTTGCTGAGGCACATTCCTGCACAGAGTTTATTTTGAAGAAGGGAAAAAAATATATTGTCCTTGGCAGACAACAATTAAAAAAAGAAAAGAAAGAAAGAAAACAGTAACTTGACTCTCTGACCGTATGCTTCTTGTTGCCAGTTGTGTTTAAAAACTCCCTGCTGGTATCAGAGAAATTCACACCAAGGCAATAAATCTCTTGTAATATTTATAAGCATCTTCGTTACACAGATTCATTACAGATCCAGGAAGATGTTTAAACTCTTGGAGGCCTTTGGGGTTGAAGCTGTTTGGAAAGGGTGAGTGGACAGAGGAACACAGAGAGAATATTCCAGACTCATGCTGATCCCTACTGGGACCACAGACATGAAGGTGGCAACATTTTCCCTGCCTTTCATGCTAGTCGGAATGCTCCTCACATGGCTGGGGATGTCTCTCAGCTGCTGGCACGCTTGCCTAGCGTGAGCAGAGCCCTGGCATTCAGGATGTGGAGGCAGGGGGATCACACGTTCAAGGTAACAGTACACTGTGGCCAGGACCAGACGACGTGAGATAAAACCTCACTTCACCCATGCTCAGCAGCAGGGCCTGCGTGGGCCCAGCATGGTTACTGATTGATGCACTAAGAGATGGCAGAAGGGCCACTCCTGAAGCTCTTCCGTCTTGAGGATGAATGAGGAGGGGCCATCCTCTGATGGCGGTGGTGATGGTTGGGGCAGTTATGGAAAGCACGGTCGCCATCGAAGTTTGATTTTTGGAGCAGAAGTTGTCTGTTTAGACGCAGCTATTGGAAAAAATCTTTTTCTTAGGATATCAAAGTGTCAGACATTCTTGGACGAGACTGAAAGCCTTAAATAGTTTTCTTACAAACCCCTTTTGGTGTCCCAGCTGGCCTTTTTTTTTTTTTAATTCAACCCCTTTGAGGCTAAAGTGTATATGTGAGAACATGGAACCCTCCTAAAACAAAGCAGAGCATAACCCCGAGGCAGGCTCTGAATAGACAAGCCTTGAAACAGCAGTCGGATTCCGTTACAAGACTGAACTGAATTGGTTGAATTAAGATGCTGTTTTCCCACGATGCTTATGATAACATCTTGAAGTCTAGAAGCCAGTTCCATCAACTGACATTCTGATGTCTTCAGACAGACTTGTTGCTTCCTTTCACTTAGTAGGCGTTACCTCGGCCTTTTCCTCTTTAGCTCTTTCAATAAATAATACCTACAATTAAATCTTGACTGTCAACAACAATGGGGAAGAGGGGAAGCCGAGATAATTAGAAGATAATTCCCCAGGCCAGCCACCAAGTCAATTTTAGACATAAATGTCACCCCTTTCCCATGAAACCTTTTATTGTAATTGCTAATCCATGGCCAAAGCAGACTGATGGGTGGTGTGTGAGCCGTGAACAGGAGGAAACAAACACAGAACCCCAGAGCCCAGGCAGCTGGTGGAGACTGCTTTAACCATGCCTACATAATGGGACCATGCTCTCACCTGAAGAAGGCCAAGGCATGCTTAGTCCTGGGAACAACTTTGGCATGGTATAGACAATTATAAAGACAGTCCCCCAATACCAGACTCCTGCGTATACACTGCACACAATTTCCTTGAGTTCAGGTGAGTCCTTCTATGGGAAGGTGCATTACTCCTCTGACTAGATTACATCACGTAGCAAAGATGAAGAGATTTCTCAGCTGTACTTGAGGCCCTGACTCAGTTATTTAGAGAGCCAGAGGGAGATTATCATGTGCAGGTCTGACCTCATCAAGTGGACATCCATAAGGGAGCCAGGGACCTCTTCAGGAGAGTAACGCGGCACTGGTTAGTCTTGACTATCAACCTCACAGGACCCGGAATCACCTAGAACAGAAAACGCTGGGCATACCTGAGATGGAGTGTCTACATCGGGTTAACAGAGGTGAGACAATCCGCAGTAACTGTGGGTGGTAGCATCCTTCCCATGACGGAGGGAATGAGAAGGAGAAACGAGGGCTGGTTCAGCAGCAAGGAGCATTTACTGTGCAAACTTGACAACCCGGATTCCGTTCCCTACAGTAGAAAGCGAGAATCAGCTCCTGAAGGCTGGCCTCTGACTTCCAAACACACACACACACACACACACACACACACACACACACACACACACACGCAGGCATTAGTGAATAAATAAGATTTCTAAAGAAAGTTCGCTGGGCACCTGATGGTTAATACACTGAGACTAGCTGTATCGGGCTCCTGCTGCCATGCCCCCCCCAGGACGGACAGCACCCTCAAACCGTGAGTCAAAACCCACCCTTGCTTCCTTCAGACGCTTTTGTCAGGGTATTTGCCACGCCAGTGAGGATGATGAACTAATACCCCGTCTCAGTGGGTTTGAGCTGCCAGAGCAAAGTGCCCCACAGAGGTGGAGGTTTATCTACCCAGGGTGCCTATTCCTCACAGCTCTGGAAGTCATGTGTCATATGTCATGTGTCGGCGCACGGTGTGCGGACAGGTGTCTTCTTGCTGACGGGTAGACCATAAGTTAGTGAGCCCTCTGGAGTCCTGTATGTTTCTTGAGGCAAAAGGTCAGTCTCTCTGTGTCACTCACACTGGCTCCTCCGCCCCAACTTACAGCATGCTGGGATGACAGTGTGCGCCATGGAGCTGATATAGGTCTGCTGTATAAGAACCCTAAGTCCATCACGAGGTCTCTATCCTCGTGACCTTACTACTGCCCAAAGGCCCCACTTCCAAATGTTAGAGCATTGGAAGTTAAGATTTATTTTCAATATCTTCTATTTGCTCTTTTACAATTTTTGTACCTGTATTCAGTATATCTTGATCATACCCGCCCCCAGCCCCTCCTTCCCACTCTCCCACAACGCCCCCCAACATGTCCCCTTCAGTCTTAGTTAGGGTTAGTATTGTTGTAATGAAACACCATGACCAAACACAACTTGAGGAGGAGAGGGGTTATGTGGCTTACACTTCCTCAAAGGCAGTCAGGGCAGGAATCTGAGGTGAGATCTGATGCAGACACTCACCCTGAAGTCCTCTCCTTTCTTTTGTAACCCCAAGTCCAGTTAGTGCTGCCTGTTGGAGAGTGAGATGCTCTGGTTCTGACCTGGTGCAGGCAGTCACAGCTGGAGGGAGCTGGTGAGTGCAAGCAGCCTTGTGGTGGCCAGAGACCAGCATTATAGGGCTTTCCTCCCCATCCTCCTGCTCCCTCTCCGGCTATGTTCTCTGACCCCTGTGGGGGCTGATAGTGATGTCCTGTTTAGGGCTGAGAACTCAATAGTCACCCTTCTAAGCCATCTGGCTAGTCATGAGTTAAACGCATTAACTTCTGCCCCCACGGTAGCATGATACTTCTCTGGTCAGGGTTGAGAGCAGAACTAATATGTGGGTATAAACATAAATATGTAGAAGGTAATTTGACAACAAGTTCATTTGTCTAAACAGCAGGTGTTGTGGTTTGAAAGAAAATGGTCCCCAAAGGGAGGGGCACTATTAGGAGGTGTGGCCTGGTTGGAGTGGGTGTGGCCTTGTTGGAGGAAGTGTGTCACTGTGGGGGTGGACTTCAAGGTCTCCTATGCACAAGCTATGCCCATTGTCACAGTTTACTTCCTGTTGCCTGTGGATCAAGATGTATGTAACCTTGTCAGCTCTTTCTCCAGAACCATGTCTGCCTGCATGCTGCCATGTCCCAGGCTAAATGGATAATGGACCTCTGAAACTGTAAGCTACCCCTAGTTAAATGTGTTCCTTTATGAGAGTTGCCGAGGCCATGGTGTCTCTTCACAGCAATAGAGACTCTAAGATAGTAGGTTACCCTTTAGTGACTATGATCTTCTGAACCATGGTATTTTAATCAGGCTTATGGTACCAAGTGTGAATCATCTCCTGTTGGGCAGTTCTCAACTCCATCCAGAAAGCAGTTAGATCCCCATAACCTTCCTGCCATTATTACATCCCTGGCACATCTTGCAAGGCAGGTCAGCATTCAGATTCACTGCTGGGTAAATACCACTGATGACTTTCATATTATTTTAATTTTAGTTTTGGGGTTGTTTTTTAGACTGGTCTCTCTGCGTAGTCCTGTCTGTTCAGGAACTCACTATGTAGACCAGACTGGCCTTGAACTTTCGGAGATCTACCTGCCTCTGCCTCCTGAGTTCTGGGATTAAAAGCACCAGCCACCACACCTGACCTGACTCTCTTTTAATAGATAATGGGAATTACACATTTGAGAACACACATTACTAGGCTGTAATGCCCTATTTGACATTTATAAATGGTGTAACTTGGTCAAATCACTTATGTCTGAGACTCACACTTTAAACAGTGGGAAAATAAGAACCCGGAAAGGTAATGTACGCTTGTGATCCCAGCACTTGGAAGACACAGGCAGGAGGACCATGGATTTGGTACTTTGGGACTAGTCTTGAGCTACATACCAAGGTCCTGTCTCAAAACCAAAACCAAATGGGAAAAATAAATTAATTTATATGAAGCACCTGTCTCAGAGACAAGTGGGTAGCGTTGATAAATATATGCATTTTTGAGATGGCGTAAGCTCTGCTAGACCACATGGGTCCATTCTGTTTCTGTTGTTTACTAATGAGTTTACTTATTTTTGATAGTTTGCTTATTTTTATTTTATGTGAATTGGTGTTTTGCCTACACGCATGTCTGTGTGATGGTATTAGATCTCTTGGAACCAGAGATATAGACAGTTGTGAGCCACCATGTGGGTGCTGGGAATTGAACCTGAGTCCTATGGAAAAGCACCACTGCTCTTAACCCCTGAGTCATCTCTCCAATGCCCATTTCACCTAGTTTTGCTTCTCTATTTCCATGAATAGGATTAAAATAGCTTTAATACTTATTATGTAGAGTTATAAGTTATTATTTGAGAAATTCAAACATGTATACAATAAAATACGATCATATCCAGTACCTATTTTCCCTCTCTAGCTCCCTCTCAGCGCCCTCTTCCCCCTCTCAATTTTATGTCTTCTAATTAATCCAGTGATCGTTATCCAATACGTGCATGGGTACAGCTCCACCCGCTGCAGCATAGGCAACTTCTCAGCAACCACACCCCCAAAGGAAAATGATTCTCTTCCCCCAGAAACTATCAACATTTGGTAGCTCCCCGTTCATTCTGAAACGTCAGGTGGCTTGATGGTATTCGGGTCTTGTGCAGATGGACACAGCCTCTGTAAGTTCACCAATGCAATAGCCAGGTCACGAGCATTCCACAACCCTCCTTCCCACCCTCCAGCTTTACAACCTTTCTGCCTCCTCTGTTATGACTCCCTGTGCCTTGTCAGAGGGTGGGCACTGATAAAAATGTCCCATTTGGGGTCAAGCATTCACAGTTGCTTGTTATCAACACCGTGACCAGTTCCGACCAGTTCTGCACTGGCTGATGCCCACTACAAAAAGAAGTGTCTCTGATGGAGGTGAAGCGCAGCCCACGTCTATGTGGTGGTCAGGATGAGAATGGTCCCCATAGGCTCAGATAACTCAGTGCTTGGTCCCCAGTTTGGTGGAACTGCTTGGGAAGGATTAGGAGGTGTGGCCTTGGGGGAGGAGGCATGTCACTGGGTGGCTGGGGTGGGGATGGAGAGGGGAGAGCTTTGAGGTTTCAAAAGCCCATGCCATTCACCCTCAGCCCTCTCTGCTCATGCTTGTTGATGAAGATGTAGCTGGCTCTCAGCTATTGCTCTGGCACCTCGCCTGCCAGCCTGTGGCCATGCTCCCCACCATAATGGTCGTGGACTTTAACCCCCTGGAACTCTGAGCCCCAGATTAAATGTTTTCTTTTACAAGCTGCCTTGGTCATGGTGTTCTATCATAACAATAGAAAAGTAATTAAGAGAGGCTCTCAGCATAAATATTTACGAGGCATTTTGACAACATGGCCATTACCAAATTAACACTAGTGGGTTCATGAAAGAGCCTGTGATATTTTGACCAGATAAACACAGCTTCTGTGAGCTCATGAATGTAATGAATAGCAAGTTTTGTAAAAACTAAATTAAAAAAAATCAAGGAAAGCACTGTTGTCTGTCTGGTTCATGCCAGCTTGGTGGACTTTCGACACACTCTTCTCTGCATCTCTTAGATTTGGACTGGATTCCTGAGTCTGCCCTGCTCATATTCTTAGACCCTGGCGGTGTAGGGGGCCACATGCCTGTCCGAGTCCGTGTCTTGCATTAAGAGGGTGGATGCCGTGACCGCTCAAGTTCTGCCAACTTCCCAGAGCCTCGCCCGTTGCCTTCCATGTCACAAGTGACCAGGAACTGAACTATCTGACATCTGAAGAATCCGTGTCACGTAGACATGACTTTTACAGCCCAAGAAATGGCCGTGACTCTGTGAGTGTGGTAGATGCTTTCTCTTTGACGGATCAACTCAACCCACACGCATGTGTCTCTGCCCATGTTTGATATGTTAGAATCTGCCCATCAGTCAACCAACTGGGCATTTGTATGCTAGAAACACGCACAGCTTTGCTGTTACAGCAAAGAGGGAGAGGATAGACTCCTGCCTTCCGGATGCTTCACGCGGTGGGGCGAGCATTCTCTCTGGTCCGGACTCCTTGTTGTTCTAGTGTCAGCCTCCCCCTGCTTCAGCTCTGCTCACACCTCCTCCTCTGCCCTCCGGGACTTAGAAAACTCCCCAGGACAGCTGCCTGCCATCCTTAGCCACACGACCCTCGCGTACTGAGGGCCCATTAGTGTCACCCCTCAGCCCTTGCCTCACTTCAGCTGTGTCTAAAGCAGGGATATGGATGGTAAAGGGACTGGTGGGGTGACTGTGAGCCATCATTCATTACCATGGTGGCACAGAGCAGCGGAAAGGCAGGAGACAAGGCCATGCCGCGCTCCCCGGCACTCCATCCATTTTCAAGGGGAAACAATTCCGATCAGAGCTATAAAAAGACTGCCGTGGGGTAAAGCGTGTCTGTCTCCCCACTCAGGCTATTTGTTTTCAACGAGGGCCTGGGCCTCCTCCCAGACTTTATCACCGCACATTTTTTGTCTATTCTTTTATTCACGCTGGGTCATTTTCATTGTCTCCTGCTCAGAAACAGATGATAAAGATCTTGCTTCACAGCCTTAGGAAAAGCTGCTATTCAACAAAGGAACCTGCCATTGTACCCAATCACTTCAAAGCTCACCCAGTATCTTTCTTATTTTTATTGTTTCTTTTCTTTCTCGTTTCTCTCCCCCCCCCACCAACAGTATGAACAATGTGGTTTGCATCCCAGACTATCTGTGGGAAAATGTACTTCCCATTGCCTAGATCTTGAGCTGCTGACACTGACAAAAAGATACAGTAATTTATGCTAAGCTTTGTAAAAATGCTTTAAATTCTTTTCTCTCCTAAACAAAACACAATAGCAGCTGATGGAGATCTCACTGCAAACATCAGCACTGAGAGTCAAGACGCTTCAACTAGATTATTAGCCTTCATCTCAAAATACCTACATAGCATTGTTAATTGAAAACAAATAAAACTTGATATATGGACAATGTTAGGATAAACCAGGCCTGCATTGTCATAGGGAAAGCTCGGTGGGTCCGTATGGACAAGGACTAGGACATGAAGGTAGACTTAAGACTGGGGTGTCACAATTCTGTTTATTCTTCACAGTACATAGGGTCAGTTTATCAGAACAAAGTCCCCCAGGCTGCCCCCCACCCCCTGCTAACCCCACCAAAAGATAACATGTTACAGAGACCAGTTAAAGGGAATCCTGCAAATGGCAAAGAACCATAAGTTTAGGGGAAACAGTCAAGTGGCTTCCTGTGATCAAGTTACACAAACAAATAGTGTTTCTAGCAAAAGGTTTTTTTTCTTCCTGAGCTTTCTCCAGCTCCATTGCAATGCACCTACGTGTGCTCATCCAGGGCAACTTCCCAGACAATCCAGCGAGGACAGGAAACATTCCCATTACTCATCCTGCTTACCCCGTATCTAACAGGATGGCCAGTTGGACAGTTACCCTTTGTTTTATGAGTAAATTGAGACATAAAAAATAATTAATGATCCCCTCCTTCGATACCAGTGGCAGCCAGTACACTAACCCACATTATATAATCGACATGGATCCTTATAAGGCTCTTTCTTCCTTTATGTTACTCTTTTCTTTCTTCCTTTTACTCTTCCTGATAGGTCAACTGTCATTGCATCCCCCCCATCAGCACCCACTGCAGAGTGTGCAGCTGTGACTCATCCCGCTTAGACTCCTGTCTCTTTGCTTATTCTCGAGGGCATATAAATGAATCATCCAGGATCTGCTCCGTTATGTTTGGCTTCTGTCCTTCAACAAGACAGAGAACTTGGTCCAGGGTCTGCACATGCTGACAATGCTCCCCCTTTTATTGTATCAGATACTATTGTATGGCATGCCACGTTTGGCTTATCTATAAACAGCTGTGCTGTTCTCAGTTGCTGGGTCTTATGAATAACATTCTCACAAACATGCTTGTAAAACTCTTTTTTGTGGGCATGCTTCCTCTCATTAATCTCTTAGAACCACTTCTTTTGTTTTCTTAATGGCCTCTATTGTTTTTCCCATGTCGGCGATTTCTTTTCTTATCTCTACAATTTCTTCCCTAGTATTTGCTATGGGTTTAGAAACTTAGACTTCATAAATGACCTTCCTCGGCATGCTCATTAAAACTATAAATAACTATATAGTTGTATGTACTCATGCCTATCTTTATAGCTTATTGATAATGATTTCCAATCTAGTACTGCTACAGCAAAAAGGTTTCAATCTTTTGGAATGTATTCAGACTTATCATATAATCCCGCATACCATCCCATCAAAACACTCCAGATTCACCTTGAGTTATTTTGGTTTGGTTTGATTATTGTTTTGAGATGGGTTTCATACAGCCTAGGCTGGCCTCGAACAAGCTATGTAGCTAAAACTACCTTCTTCTTCTTCTTCTTCTTCTTCTTCTTCTTCTTCTTCTTCTTCTTCTCCTTCCTCCTCCTCCTCCTCCTCCCCCTCCTCCCCCCTTCTTCCTGTTGACTGAGGGTGAAGTTAATAGACAGTGGACAGAGAAGGCACATATGGGGAGGCTCTCCCCTGCCTGGAATACACCCCCACTGCCCCACTTGGATTCTAGATCTCCTGGATAAGCCTGGAATAGTCCTTCCCCACCCCCTCTGCTCTCTCCTGGTTTCAAACTTGTATATCCATCTGACCCTTTGCCTTGCCTGTAAGACCTAGAAGCACCCCAAGATCTGTCATGGGCCTCTCTTTAACAGGGACAAACAGAGAGGAGAACACAAGCTGTGTTCTACCTCAGTTTCCACTCAGTTTAACCCCTTCTCCATGCCTCAGAAAGATAGGTACTAAGCCAGGCCTCAGGTCAGTGGCCCGCACCTGTAACTGACTCAGTCTGACCTTCATGGTCTGGTGAGTGTGACAAGCAAAGAAATCCAACCCTGTCACTTCCACATCTTGGTCTGCTGTGGGGATGAGGTGCAAACTAAGGTGTACTGACCCTAAAGGGAGGACGGGCCTACCTGCTGTGTGGATCCTCTTGTGTCCTGCTCCCAAAGTCCAGGGATTGCAAGTGTCTAGCACCATGCTGGTTTATGCAGTAAAGTTAAACCCAGGGTGCTATACATGCTAGACACGCAGGCACTCTACCAGCTGAGCCACACCCCAGTTCAGCTGCACCCCAGATCTACGTATGTACTTGTAAGAGAATGTGTAATCTTTAGGTGTTGGCTATAAGGCTATAAACGTCATCTAGATCAAGGCAGGATAACTTACTGTCTAGATAGTCTGTAATTTCACAGTTTTTTTGTTTTGTTTTGTCTGGTCATTTTAATTTCTGAGAAAGATAAAACATGCATCCAGTTCTGATTATGGAATTGGAATTGTGTGGTTTTTTTCTTTTTTTTTTTTTTTGGTTTTACGAGACAGGTTTCTCTGTATTATTTTAAAGGCTGTTGGTCCAGCCTAGCCTGGAACTCACAGAGATCCGCCTGCCTCTGCCTCCCGAGTGCTGGGATTAAAGGCGTGCGCCACCACCACCCAGCTGGAATTGTGTGGTTTTCTTGTTCCCACTAACTCTGCCAACTTTTTTTTGAGTATTTCGTAGCTGTCATTACATACATACATGCTTAGAGAGTTAGTATGTTTTCCTGATGAATTCATGTTTTATTATTATGAAACTTCCTTTCTCTGACATTGTGTCTAATCTTGAGGTATGTTTTGTCTGACATTAGCATATTAATCACTTAAAATTAATAAAGATTTCCTACGGCTCTAGCTCATCATTGTCGATTGCTTATTTCCAATCTGTGTCTTATTCTAAGAGCATCTATCATATAGACAGTAGACAGTTTGCTTTGAACAGTCATAAATTTTAAAGAAATTAAGAAGGGATAAAAGACCTTTCCAACCCAGCAGGGAGTTCTTTATTTCTTCTCGTATATATTTTTCACATCCAGAATTTCCATTTGGCCCAAAGTCCTAAGTTAGTCCCTGTGTCATGTTTCCAATATCCTTTATTCAGACTTTGAAGCTATTTATTAAGTTTAATTTACATTCCTGTTCTTTTTGGTCCATTAATTCCGCTTCCTCCGGTTTTTGGCCTTTCTTTCATGATTCTTGTGTTCCTTGTGTTCTCGTTTCATTTCTTCTGAGCTCATGTCCACTGGAGACTATTAGCTACCTTCACTGGCGGTGCATACCTTGGCAGAGGGTCAAGAGCCTCTACTCTTGGTTTTATGGCCTCCAAGTGAGTTGGGAAAGCGGACGTGCAGCTAGGTACCACAAGGTGATGTCACTCTGTGGTTAAGCTCACCTATGCAAACTTGTTCCTCTGGGCATTGTCTAGAACCCCTACTTCAGCACAGCTTGTTTCCAGAGGTGACCTTCGCCTGTGATGACTGCCAAGGCCCAAACATTGCAGACTGTTTTGGTGAGGGAAAGGTGAGAGGACTTGACTCTGCTGACCCTGAATGCACCTCCAGTTACCTGTTCTGTAGAAGACACACAGTGGACAGTTGTCTACCCAGGGGAAAAAAAAACTTAAGGGAGAAACACCAAGCTTCGCTGGTTGATTTTGGTTGGGGTATGTTCCCTTTAAATAAATGAGTTGTAATAGCTGAAATTTAATATACCATCCAAAGAAGAAATATAACAAGCCATGAACCCAGAGAAGTCAACTGTAAGAAGTGAAAATTTTTAGTAAGCCAATTAATGAGATTCCCTGAGTGATAAAAATAGCATATCAAGCAAGTTCTTAATCCCAGAGGGAATTGACTTTATAGACTTAATGGAATCGATGGTGCCAGATATCTGGTCCCCGAGGGAGTTGTTTCCCAGCCCTCGTCTGATCCTCCCCTTGCCCTGCCCACTCCTGAGCTCCTGGCCTAGAGTTCCAGCTAGAGCGTGCTGCAGTGTGAACAGAGACCCAGCTGGGCCTAAAAGGACTGAAATGCAGAAAAACACACCAAGAGTCAGTTTGTGGGAACCTGGATGGTTCTGAGTGGTCTGAGTTCAGAAGGAAGGAATCTTCCAAGTGTGTAGTTATCTTCTCCCTCCTTTATATGGTGAGCAGAGCTCCCGTTACCCTTGTAAGAGAGGCACACCCATGTTCACCCCTGTGTGTGTGTGTGTGTTTCACTTCCTGACAGGGAACGTGATCTCCAAAGAACTACTTTGTTGCCAGGAAGCAGAGCCTGTGAAAGCCAGAAGTAACTGTGGAGAGAATCCACCCACCTCTCACTTTACAGTAGGGGAAACTGAGGTCTGGGTAGGGGGGTAGTTTTTTCAAGATCTCACTGGGGCAATCATGAACCAGCAACCAGACAATCTCATTTTTTTTTTTGAGACAGCCTCTCTCTGTAGCTCTGACTGTCCTGGAACTCACTCTGTAGACCAGGCTGGCCTTGAACTCACAGAGATCCACCTGCCTCTGCTTCACAATCTCTGGGGTTAAAGGTGTGCACCACCACCGCCCAACACCAATCTGATGCTTAAACACATGGTTTCTCCACCACCAAGATTTCCGTGAATACCCATTTCTAAGGCCCATTCTTTCTAGTCCTGCCTGCTAGAGGTCAACCGTTTTTGATGTCTTCCTAATGAATGCTCGTCCTTGGCTTCTAGAGATAGGTTTTATCCTCTTTTCTTCTGCATCTTACTTGCTTTTAAAATGTTTATTTTATTTTGTGTTGTGTTCCAGCACGTCTGTGAAAGTGCACGTCTGTGAACATACAGGGACTAGAGGGTTGCGTCATGTGCCCTACTCTAGCACTTTCTGATTTATTCACTTAGGACATGGTCTCTCAGTGAGCCTGCAGTTAAGATGGCAGCCAGCAACCCCAGCCATCCGCTCCCCCCCCCACAGCACTGGGATCACAAGTATGCACACAGCACTGGATTACAGGCATGCACACAGCACTGGATTACAGGTATGCACACAGCACTGGATTACAGGCATGCACACAGCACTGGATTACAGGTGTGCACACAGCACTGGATTACAGGCATGCACACAGCACTGGATTACGGGTATGCACACAGCACTGGATTACAGGCATGCACACAGCACTGGATTACAGGTATGCACACAGCACTGGATTACAGGTATGCACACAGCACTGCATTACACGTATGCACACGGCACTGGATTACAGGTATGCACGTGGCACTGGATTACAGGTATGCACACAGCACTGCATTACACGTATGCACACGGCACTGGATTACAGGTATGCACGTGGCACTGCATTACGGGTATGCACGCAGCACTGGATTACGGGTATGCACACAGCACTGGATTACAGGTATGCACACAGCACTGGATTACAGGTATGCACACAGCACTGGATTACAGGCATGCACACAGCACTGGATTACAGGTATGCACACAGCACTGGATTACAGGCATGTACACGGCACTGGATTACAGGTATGCACACAGCACTGGATTACAGGTATGCACACAGCACTGCATTACACGTATGCACACGGCACTGGATTACAGGTATGCACGTGGCACTGCATTACGGGTATGCACGCAGCACTGGATTACGGGTATGCACACAGCACTGGATTACGAGTATGCACACAGCACTGGATTACGGGTATGCACACACAACCACACTTGACTTTTTATGTGGGTGCTAAGGATGTGAGATTGGCTTCTTCTGATGCACAGCCACCTCTTTAGTCATCCCCACTTTTCATTTGTGACAGTTTTTCTACATTGTCCAGGCTGATCTCAAATTCCTGCCCCAGCCACCTCTAAGTGCTGAAGTCACAGACCTGCATTTTGACAGAAGGGTTTACAGGACCAGAACCGAGAGACAACTCTGAGGACCCCAGGGGACCCTCCTTTGCCTCTACAGCCCTGAAGGATGCAGTTAGCGGGCTGTTTACTTAGTCGTCACTGTTCTTATCCTAAGCTGCGTGGTGTGTCAGCTTTGTGGAATGCCATGTGTATAGAACTTTGAAAGAGGTGGCTTTAGTAGCCTGGTTGGTGACAAGTCACAGCCCAAGAAATCATGAGCAAGCCGGGTAGGTATGGTTATACACATCTTTTATCTCAGCCCTAGGGAGGCAGAGGTGAGTTCAAGGTGAATTTGGTCTACACAGTGAGTTCCAGACCAGCCAGGGCTGTACAATGAAACCCTGTCTCAAAAAATATGTAAGTCAAGATTACCTATCCTGTGTGATACCTGCATACTGGAGTGAGGGATATCTGGGCTCTGTGGATGAACAAAGACAGATACCTACTCAGTAGACACTGATCTGAACATATTGCTCTGTGCTACACAGAGTGTTGGGTCCTACACTCTCCAGCATCCTACAGTGTCCACTTGCAAGTAATGACAAATAAAAAAGTTAATGAATGGATACAGAGCCAAATGTGACTGCTGTGTAAATACAGACCTCAGAGGCAGACATCAGCTACAGGCTAAATCTGATCCACGGACTTCTGTTTTCATCCTAGATCGTGTTTTGTTTGTTGGAGACAAGTTGATCTTAAACTTATTTATGTAACTTGTTTATGTACATGTGTGTATGCACACACACACACACACACACACACACACACACACACCAGTGCACATGTGGTGATCAGAGGATAATTTTGTGGAGTATGTTTTCCCCTTCCACCCTTTCACAGGATCCATGGACGTGAACGCAGGCCTCCAGGCTTGCACAGCAAGTAACCAAGTCACCTCACCAGCCCACATTGTGTTTTCTTTTCTAAGTTGAACTATACCCATCTGACTTTAAAATGTTGGTGCTCAGCATCTCTTGTGGAAGCTGAAAAATGGCCACACTGCCCACTTATTCCAGAGTGACTCTGGCTTGGGCTTAGTGGCAATCAGGTTCTGAGATTATCAATTTTTTTGTGTTGATTCAACTAGGCTCAAAGACACCCCCAAAACTGGTGAGAACATTATTTCTGGGTGTGTCTACCAGGGAGTTTCTGGAAGAGATTGCCACGTGGGTTGGTGGATAACAAAGACCCACCCCCAATAGGGCAGGCAACACCATCTCATCTACCCAGAGCTTGCATGGAACAGAGAGGAAGGGAAATCCCGTGGTTTTTAGTGGGACATCCACCTCTCCATCCTCTCTATCTTCTACCTCAGATGTTGCTTGGTTCTTCAGCCTTCAGACCCAGGCTGTACTAAAGTGCCGGCCTTCTAAAGTCTTTAGCTTGCAGATACCCCATGGTGGATCTTCCAGGCTGTCATATCTGCTTGAGTCAATTCCCATGTTAAGTCTCCTTGACACAGCCTATCAGTTCTCTTTCTCTGGAGACCCCAACTTACATCAGTCCCCTTAAGCCGTATGTGAACCTGGAACTGACCATGGTCCTCTCTGTCTCTTAGGGTCTTCCCAAGACCTCTTCTCTGGTTTATGTATGGATCTTAGAGATTAAATTCTTCATCTGGACGTTCATAGATGTCCTTGTAGGGAATAGCAGGCTCAGCTGGGAAACCAAGGAGGAATCTGGATTTCTAAAAGATGATGGAAAGAAATATAACATGGATAACGTGGAGCCATTCTGGAAAAGGGCTTGTGAAGAGAGAAATAGAAGACCTTCTACTGGTGTCGGCTTTGGGTCTGCCTAAGTTATCCAAGGAGAAGAAAGGCTTTGTTCCAGCTTCATCCTGAGATTTTCAGCCAACCCTGGCTTCTCATATGGGACTCACCTCCTTTGGCTCTTGGCTGAGTTTCATCCATGAGAACCAGGGATGTTAAAGCTACAAGGAAGCTGTGTTAGTCTCTACTTCCACATTTGAAGAAGCTGAGTCTAAAGAGGAAGCTGTGTTAGTCTCTACTTCCACATTTAAAGAAGCTGAGTCTAAAGAGGAAGCAGACCTGATTACCAGGAGCCCCTCATCTGGAGTATCCAAGCCAACTAACTGGTCAGCTCTAAACATGTGTACATATGAGCAACATTAAATGTACTCAATAGTAGATAAATATCCATGTATACATATATACGTATATTCGGGCACACATATGCATGCACATATATGTAATAATAATGAAACAAGAAGAGGTCATGAATTTGAGAGGGAGGGGGAACAAGAGATGTTGGAGGGAAAGAGTGGTAGGCGGAAATGATGTAGATATAGAACTCATGTATAAAATTCTCAAAATAATAATAATAAAATAAAAGAGGGCAGCATCTTCATTAAGGGGCAAGGTCAAGATCCCAAAGGACAACCAACTCCTTGACCACTTGGCCATTGCTACACAAGAGAAGAAACAGAGAAGGGGAGGCAGGGGAGGGGGTGGGGAGTCTGTGGGGTAGCCTCCACTGTTGAAATCACCAGGACTTAGGATTCAGGGGATTTCTTCTGTCCGGAGGAAGTATGTTTTTATAATCCACCTCCTACGGCTGGTGGGAAAAGAATCCTTCAAGTCCCCAAGGAATCTTAGGAAAACTCTACTAGACTCTAGCCCTCAGCCTGCCTGAGTCATAGCAACTATAATAAATCCAGAGTGTGTATTTTCTTAACTTTTCTCTTCGGGTGGGGAGGCGGGGTTACACATGTTCTAAGAAAGTGGGTGTACTGGGGTGGCCTCATCATTAGATGTGATCTCGCCACATCTGGTTGTCCAGTCAAGACGTTCTCTACAGAATTCCAGAAGAAGAGGTGTTGGGATGAGGAAGTGAGATTGAGTTGGGTATAACAAGACTCTACATGTCCCTCTGACCCTTTCTGTGGAGGGCTCCCATACAGACCGTCACTTTGTTTGGAACACTCTTCTCCACTTCCGACCCCAACACCGCCACACTTCCACCAGGCTGAGGTGGCCCTCTTCAGGGCTCAACTGAAATATCTTTCTGTGTCCTGTGCTTCAGGTAGCTAACTGGTAGTTGATTATATATATATTTCACTGCTCAACCCCTGCTCCTGACCTCTCATAAGATCCATTTGTCTGCATCTGTTTTGTCCACAGCTACCAGTGCTAGAACATAGGTGGCGACCAATGAAAATTTGACTAAAGCCCCAAAAATACTAGGCTCTGCCTCCAACATGCCGGAGTCCTTACAGAAACCCATCAGAAGGCAGACAAACAGTCAAAAGTGTTCACCTCTTGGCTTCCTCATTCCACGGGTACTGAGTTGTACATGGTAAGACACATACAGTAGACAGAGGACTCCCTGGCATGGGTTGAAACAAGCAATCTAGACACAGCTTCCCCGGAGAAATGAGTCTGATGTAGTATCCCACCCTTCCTCGGGACACATGTCTGAGAAGTACAGAAATGTCCCATAGATGGAAAAGAGAGTTCTCAGATTAGAGTCCCAGAGTCACAATTCAAGGACAAGTGCCCAGCATTGGTGACTTGACTTTCTGGTGCCTCATTCCCCTCCTCCTGTGTGAGCCTGTAGCATTGGGCCCTTGGTCGTGCTTAGATGATTGATTTTAGCAGAGTTAACAATTCTCTGTGATTCTCCAGAGCCAAAGCCAACTATTCACAAACTTGAATTCTTTCAGTTTGGGGTGGGGACCCTTTCCTGTACATCCTGCCATATGTAGGCTAGTGGTCCCTGATAAATAACTCACATTTAAGTGCTCTGCACACTCTAGATTGCATCACATATGTTTGGCTGTTAGATTCCTGCAACATTGCAGGGAGGTTTGGCCGTGCCAACAGTTTTACGGATGCCCACGGGACCCACAAAGATTAGGAGACACAGAGTTGGGGCATGGCCAGGCTGCCCTCCATGCCACCTTCCAGTCTCCTTCTCTTGCCTCAGAGAGCTGTCGGGTTTCCCACTGAATCTGGGATGTTGCTGGCGGAGCACTGATTTTTGTTGTTCATTTATTCTGTGGTTTCTGTGCTGGGTGTGGAACCCAGAGCCTTGATCTTGCCACTGCCTCACATGGTGCCCTGAGTCACATCCCTAGCCCCCAACACTGTTATGAAGCTCTACGGAACCCCAACATTTGGTCCTGGCCATGTGTGCATGTTTGGAAAGAGAGTGGGGGCATGGGGTTGCAGCCTGAGCCTGGAGAGACCCTGCCCACTGGCTGCTTAGCCAGGCACTTCCATGGACTATGGAAGCCTCTTCCAGTAGGCCTGGTAGGTTGGGTTTAGATTAGAGAGGTAGGAGCTAGGCCTGCTTCTCAAAGTTAGACTCGGGGCTATTGTCCCCAGAAGGGCACTCAGAAAGACCAGAGTCCTCGATGCAAAACAAAAGGGCAACGGGAGGAAGGGAAGGAAGCCGCTTAACTCGTTTATTCGGTCTTCCTCCCTCATTTCCTCTTTCTCTCTTTAGCCCGACTCCCCCCACCCCCATCCCGCCCCCAGTTTCTGGTTTCCTGGCCACTATCTAGCCAATAACCTCCCACATTTGCATTCTCAGCCCCTCTCTGCTCCCATAATCTCTTCCCCAGGCTCTTCCGAGGGCCATATTTACCACCACACAGGATTTCCGTCGATAACAGCAGGGCCTGGTCATTCCAGAGCGGCCCCATCTCCTTGTGGGTGTCTATTTACAGCAAGGCAGGAATTTTAATTTCTGCTAAGAATGTGACATTCCTTAGGTGTCTAACCTGCACGGGACCACCAAGTGAGCTGCTCCCATCCTTCCACGGCCGGCGCTCTGAATCAAGGCTTAAAAAGAAAAAGTCGGCTCTGTCTGTGTCTGTCTGTGTGTGGATACCTCAAGTGCAGACATAAGTTACTCGGGAGGCTTGTCCAAGGTGGGTCACTCACCCACAAATCTCTGCGCTGAGGACTGCAGGATTGCGGGGTCTGCATCTCCAGCAACCCTGGGGAGAGCCCCGTGCGCACAGGAAAGGGATACAGCGCCCCCTTGTGGTCGTTTGTCTCATCTCATTAACACCAGGGTTTTTCACTAAAACTTTTTAAAAAAGTACTCACAGGCAAGGTGTTTAACTTCTAGTTGATGTATAACATGCATCCATACACCTTCACACGCTCAAAACACTGCCCCAAATGGACACATTCAGATTAGCGCTTTCCCACCCTCGCTTAGGAACCCTCACCCCCTCTCACCACCACCCAGGGTAACTGTCCTAACCCACACATCAGTTTTGCCTTCTGGGGGTTACCTTAAGAAGCAGAATTCCAGAGACCTGGGGGGTAAAAGACCAGCTTGCCTTACTCTTCAGTACCAGGAGGCTAAGCATCCTCTTCAGACCAACATGTATCCATTCCCCACGCCCCACACCCCGTTTCTAGAGACGCTGTGTTTGCGGGAAATCCTACCCTCTTCCCTTTTAAACAAGGATCATACATCAGCAGCACAATGTGGCACATGTCAATCGCGGTGGTAAGAAATGGCCTTTAGAACTTCACAAGGGGCCATCGAAATGGCGTATCGGGGAAAGGAGCTACCCAGCCTGGCAACCTAAATTCAATCCCTGGAGTCCCTGTGGTAGAAGGAGAGAACCTACTCTCAAAAGGTGTCTGTGGCCACAAATAATTGCACACCACACATGATGAATGAATGAATCTGTAAGTTTTTAAAAATTACTATTAGGAACACTTACTACAGTCATAATACCATATAAACCAACAGCATTTTTTAGTTCCAGATCTCCACCAACCCCAGGGAAGCCCTGTGCTCACTGCCTGGAAAATTCCATCCTCAAAGCCAAGTTGAGGTGAGGTGGCCTGGCCTTACTAACAGGAGTGTCACACAGGTTCGAGGGCCCTCTGTCCTTGCGTGTGTATGTGTGTGTGTGGGGGGGTGGTTGATAAGCCTTCATTCATAGATCTCACAAATGCAGCTGGAAAAGTAACCACCACATTGGAAGGATAAGCACTAACCCTGATGACTAGATTAAATTAATTCTAATAACTTATTCTAATTCCACACATCCAAGTTATGACATTTCAACATGTGATAGAGATAAAAAAATAATTACAGCGATCTTTTGAACTTTGTCACTATGAAGCCTTTGAAATCTGCTGTGGAGTTTACATCACAGCACGTCTCAGATTGAACCAGTCACATTTCAAGTGGCCAGGGACTATGGAGCTGGGCTTCGTGGCTCTGAACAGTGTGCGGAACGCTATCAGTATTCCAAATCATCGCTTAGAAAAGGGTTGTTGGGACTGGCGAGAGGGCTTAGCCAGTGAACGTGACTCAGCCGATGAGGACCTTGCCTGCCATGCCAGCATTCAGCCTTAGTGTGGATCCCCAGGATTGACATAGAGAAGCACAGCCCTGGTGATCCCCAGGCCAGTGAGAGATACCGTCTCAGCAAACAAAGAGCACATACTGCTCTTGCAGAGGACCCCAGTTCGATTCCCAGTACCTACTTCATAGAGCGGCTCACAAAGATCTGAAAGTCCAGCTGTGGCTGGGGAGTGTGTATGAGAGAGAGAGAGAGAGAGAGAGAGAGAGAGAGAGAGAGAGAGAGAGAGAGAGAGAGAGAGAGAGAGAGAGAGAGAGAGAGAGAGAGAGAGAGAGAGAGCAAGCTCTGGCCCCCACAGACACAATTTTAAAAAAATACAGAGACACTGGAGGCTGGCATCCACACTCACTGTGCACACATGCATGTGCTCATTTGTACACACACACAAACACACACACACACACACACACTCAGCCTGGTTGTTCAGATCGGGATCTGACCAGAAGCAGTGTTACTCAGTACATGTATTCAGAAAGAAGAAAATCTAGCAGAAATCAGAAAATCATGAAGGCTGGAACATTTTTTTAGGGGAAAAAGTGCTGCTTTGTGTCTGACACAGCGACTGACTGACTTCTTGCCATGCAGTTCTGCCCCATCACAAACAGGGCAGACACCTGCAGATTTATTACATCCTTCTATTATTCGGACTTAAGTAATCACAGTCAAGAGCACAGTTGCTCCACACCCGGCAGGGGGAGGGGTGAGGGAGGGGGAGGCTGCTTATTATTCTCTAGGACCTCAGATTCCTGAGAGACAGGTTATTTTCTAGAAGGATTTAAGATTTTAGAGCCCTGGTCTTTCCCAGTTTCTGCAAAGCATGGCAGAGGCAGGGGGAGGAAAGTCAAGACTCTCCCCACACTCACTCCCTCCCTCCCTCCCTCCCTCCCTCCTCCTCCTCCCTCCCTCCCTCCCTCCCTCCCTCTCTCCCTCCCCGGCTTGCAGGGAATGTGTCAGCCTTAGGCAGCATTCCTGATCCTGACTTTGTCTTACAGAAAGCAACATGAAAAAAAAAAATAGCAAGGCCTATCGCTGACCCTTGTGCTTGCGACATTGTCCGCAATGGATTCTGAACCGAGCACTGTTCACTGACTCATCGAAAAGGTAGCAGCTCATTTTCCTAAGCAAATGTTCTTGTGAAAGCGCCCTGTTACATTCATTCTCCCCCACACAAACGTGCACACGCACAGGCACACATTACACAAGTTGTACATGCTAGTTAAGCCCTAAGCCTTAACGATCATTCATGATAGGCTGCTCCCTACTCTGGGTGGAAACTTTGGGAAAGGGTGCTTGCCTCTGGAGTTTTGCCCTTGTTTCCCATCTCTGAGGGCACAGATGGGGCTCTGGGGCATCTCAAAGTGGGGACTGTGGGGAGTGTTGAATCCCTGTGAACTGTGAACTCATCACCCAAAACCGGAACATCCCTCCCTAGTCATGATGCATTCTAGTGGGTTGCATTTTCCACAGAGAGCAAGGATGTATCACTCTGGCTAATTTCTCTTTTATGGAGGATGTTGACATTAATGCCGGTTGAGCAGAGGAGGGTTAGAACTTGGTGTACAGAGAAGGGGTGAGAGTTTAACAAGTTTGGGGTCCGGGGATTCCTAAGACCCACTGCAGACCCACCAGCTGGGACCAGCTTAGAGTCATACACATGAATAACCACTTTAAACAAGAGTTCCGGGTGATCCAAACACACGTGACACTTACTGCACCAAGCTCTGGTGTCTATCATTAAATTGCAAGCAAATATTTAAAAACAAGAATGGGACGGTGAGGGGGGATGGTGGGGCTTGTCTCCAATTGACAACACTTTCACTCTTTGAAGGAATAACCATGTGTTTCCAGAAGCCAAAGACTTGAGTTCTGATTCTAGCCTCTCATATATAATGCGGGCAGGTTATTTAACCGTCTCAAATCTACTGCCACAGGCACGCATGGGAGAGGCAGGGAGGACATGGAACACAACACACACAGCACACACACACATACAACACACACACACACAGCACACACACAAACAGCACACACACACAGCACACACACAGCACACACACACAGCACACAGCACACACACACAGCACACACACACAGCATACACAACACAACACACACAGCACACACACACAGCACACACACAACACAACACACACAGCACACACACACACACAGCACACACACACAACACACACACACACACACACACACACACACGACTCTTACTTAGCAGCTTCTCGGAGACCTGTGTCCTTCCTCCATCATGCACTAGAGTGTCACTCTTTAGACCTCAGGTCCCCCTACAAACACAAGGCACAACTAGGATGTACTGGGCTGTGGGAAGGCAAGCCTGGCAGCCTCACTTTGGTCTCTGGAACCCTTGTGAGAGTGGAAAGAGAGCGTTGACCCCACAGAGCTGTCCTCTGATCTCCACAATCGCGCTGTGACACGAGAGGCCACACACGTCTGTCTTATACAATTTCAAAAATAAGATTGTATCTATATTAGTTGCCATGATGAAACACTATGACCAAGGCAACTCACAGAAGGAGGAATTTACTTGGGCTTAGGGCTCCAGAGGGATGAGAGCCCATCGTAGTGGGGAGGGGCATGGCAGCGGAGCAGGAAGCTGAGAGCTCCCATCTTGTTTGCTGTTATCAAGTTTCTTTGAGCTAAAACTACCTGCTTCTCACTAACAGAGGCCTGGCATGGGGAGGGTGTGCAGCTCAGCCACAGCACTTAGCATATGGGAGGCTCCAGGCTCAATCCCGGCTCTGTACAAAAGGAGGGAAAGAAAGAGAGGGAGGGACGGAGAGAGGGAGGGAGGGAGGGAGGGAGGGGGAGGGGAGGGAGAGGGGAAGGAGAGAGGGAAGGGAGAGGGAGGGAGAGAGGGAAGGGAGAGGGGAAGGAGAGAGGGAAGGGAGAGGGGAGGGAGAGAGGGAAGGGAGAGGGGAAGGAGAGAGGGAAGGGAGAGGGGAGGGAGAGAGGGAAGGGAGAGGGAGGGAGGGGGAGGGAGGGAAGAATGGCACATGATAAACTGAGGCTAAAGATATGGTTTAAGAAATTGAAAACAACTGAATTTCTGACACCAAATCCCAGTGTGGGTTTCATCCTGCCAGTCACAGGCATCCCTAGAGAACTCGGGTCCCCTTCCAGCTGGGACAGGGTCCTCTCAGCCAAGGTCACCAGAGCCCGCAGTTACCTTCTAGGTGAGCAGATCCCAGAAGGAACCAGGAGGAGAAAGTGCTGACTCAGCCACTACCAGCTTTACCAGTCACAGAGTGAGAGGTTACAGGGAGGGACCAAGACTAAACCAAGTCTCTCCTCTCTCGTACGGCAGGGTAAACGTGATGACAGCACTGAAGCGGCTTGTAGAAATGGCCGCAGTGTTCCTGGGGGGGCTTTCGCTTCCGGTCCTGTTCCTGGGGGGGCTTCCGCTTCCGGTCCTGTTCCTGTGGGGGGCTTCCGCTTCCGGTCCTGCCTCCAGGGTCCCACATCAAGGCCTTTCCTTGATGATGGACTGTAATCTGTGAGCCAAACAAACCCTTTTCTTGCCCGAGCTGCTTTCCATCAGACTGGTCTAATACAGCAACAGAGATGCAAGCCGATACTGTGTGAGCCCAGTGGCTGGAGTCGTCTTCAGAGCCTATGTAAAAGTGGAAGGAGAGAAGCAGGTCCACTAAATGGTCCTCTGACCTCACACACACACACACACACACACACACACACACACTCACACACTCACACACGCAACGCGCGCACACGCACGTATGCACACACATACACACACACAGAGAGAGAGAGAGAGAGAGAGAGAGAGAGAGAGAGAGAGAGAGCTGACAAAATAGAATCTCTAAAAACTGCTCAACTTCGTATTCTTTGAATCCATGGTGCACGTGATTAACTGAACACAGGTGAGAGGCTCAGAGGGAATCAGCCCCGCTATGTCTCCAATTCAGCTCCTCTAGGTAGGGCTCCTGCCCCGAGAGACCCTCACATGGATAAGCACTGCACAGCATGGCTCTCCTGTCATGGAGAACTGTCTTCCCTCTTCTGTCTCCCACCTCAAATTATCTCCATCCACAGTGACCAGCGCAGCCTACCACGGTTGAACAAGAAAATCATGTGGCATCATAAACGTGGCCCAGCAATAAAATTCCAAAAAAGAAAAGACCTGAGTGTAAATACTACCAACATCACCACCAAGGAGACTCATGTCCTTACGACCCCAGTTCAGAGGAGAGAGCTAAAGGCCTTTGGGTAATTACCTCACTCTAGTGGAGGTGTCCCTCAAAAGATATTAAGCCTCAATTTTATTTGCTTTAGTCTCTGGAAGAAGACTTCCTCCTGAGCCCAGAGAGAGTATGGTTCTCCCCAGGGCTGGAGCCTCCAGTGCCTTCCCAGGAGAGTCTTAAAGTTTGAATTCACCTGTAACCCTCTCAGGGCTTGCCCCCTTCCCTCCTCCCCCCTTCTTCAACACCTTGTGTTTGTTTGGTTTTTTTTTTTTTGGTCTTTTGTTGTGGTTGTTGTTATTTTGTCTTTTTGTTTTCTTGGAGCTGAGGACCACACCCAGGGTCTTGCACTTGCTAGGCAAGAGCTCTACCACTGGGCTAAATCCCCAACCCCTCTTCTTCTCCATCTCAGCAAAGCCGACAGAGCATCAAGCTTGCAGAGGGAACCGTTCCTCACTGCTGCACAATGATTCACTGGGTCTCCTCTAACTTGTAAGACTGAAGCCCCGAACATTAGAGAACAGCCGACCCCTGCTCTCTCCACCCTCGAAGCTTCCCTTCTCTCTGTGTTTCTAAGTGTGGCTACTAGGTACCCACAGGAGCGGAACTGTGTGTATTTATGCTGTGTGACTGCTTTGGGTTCATCTATGTTGAACACATGCCAGGGGGCTGCTAAATCTTAAGGCTGAATAACAGCCCACTGAGTGCCTGTGTTGGCTTGTCCATCTGTCCAAGGACACTTGAGTTGTCTCTGTCTCTCATGTATTGTGAAAAGCTCTGCTTGAAAATGCTGTGTATGCCTCAGTCTCTGAACCATCAACTGCCTAAAAGAAATTATTATAGGACAAGTTTAGAAATGATTCTAGGCCCTTGTCCCAGAGAACTTATCCAGGCAAGATCAAATCCTACAGCTCAGTGCTTGGTGCTGTTAAAAAGAAATTCAGATTCAGTCGGGGAGATTCAAGAGCCAATGTCTTTCACTGAAGAGTTCATCCATCACTCGTCGTTAAGTGGCCACAACCCACAGAGAAGTTAATGATGGCACCGAGTTGACCATACCGGGCGGAGACAGACTCATCCTAAAATTGGTCTTCTCTGCAAGAGGCCTTGAGGCATCCTTGCTTTGAGCATTTCTTCACAGCTCAAAACTACATCATTAAAAAGCTGTTTGCTTTCTACCTAGGAAGTTCAGAACATAGACACTGCTAATAAAGTCCAGCGCTTGAGAGTGCGGTATAACAAAGAGAAAAACAGAGTGTCCTGCCTACAGATGACACCCGGAACACTGTCTGCCGACCTGTGGCTTACCAACCAGTGTGAGGCACACACATCCACAGGAAGACCCTGTCTCACTGCAGAGCAGGGGGGGTAATATAATTAAAAAGCTGGGACACAGTATAACTCAGGGACATGTCAGTTGCATAGCATGTTGCCAGGACTTGGGATCCTCTCTTTTTCTCTAAAAGCCCTGTGAGCAGAGTGGGAAGACAGCCTTAAGAACTAAGATTCACCCCACCAGGCATTAACGGTGTCCAGAAACTATGTGAACAATCTCACTCGACATCCTTAAGACATTTGTATCTGTCTGATACAGGACCAGAGGGGGGAAACATGTTAATTTTCTCAGCCTGCAGATAACACATATACAGAATCCTGAAGGCTCACAAAAAGCCCCGCATATTCTCTAGGGCTTCCACTGCCTTAAAATATAGGCTTGCATTTATCTTGACCACATTAACGAGGTCTGTTTGACCAATACATTTATATTTATGATGACTGAGGGCAGATTATGGTTGTTAAAACTTGTCCTTGGGACATGAAAACACTCCTCTGTCATTAATACATTTGCTAATATAAACTATGATGTCAGGTCAACGTAAAGGGTAAAAATGTTCCTAAAGTGCGCGCACATCATTTTTTAAAGCAATTGAGCCTAATGGAATAGCAAAGGTCATCATAACAAACCATTACAGTCTTCGTCTTGGCTATGCCGGCCACAGAAGAACCTCCAAGAAACCGTCATCATTCCTCCAATGTTATGGCATCCAGACGACAGGGATGGCTCGCAAATGAGTCATCCGGGCTCAGATCCGCAGTAGCTATGTGAGCGCTGCGCAATCAATTATTCATGTGTTTACAGAGAGCCTTCCCGGTTGATGTTAACCAGAGCTGCTTGCAAAGGACAGCTCTCCAGCTGTCCTCAGCCACCCCAGGCCTCCAACTAACAAGTCACTTTAATTGCTGGAAAAGCCATCTGGAAGGTGAGCCTCCCCAGCCCAGACCCTGAGACTTTATTAGGTGCAAAAATATTAATCAGGGATAATTATGACAATACTTTATATACAGGACTCTCAGAAAAATCCTAAAGAGGGTGAGAGAAGGTAGGCTTGACCCGGAACCCATTAGGCTCAATGGGGGACGGACTATTGAGGGCCCAGGTCAGGGATGCACGGAGAGCAAAAGAGAACAGCATGAAGGGAAAAGGCTGGGAGGCGGTGAGCTCCAGTGTGGAACGCTCTGTGAAGGTAAAGGCGCATGACCGGGGACCACCAAGGGTGAACGCTCTAGATTGGTCAATAGCCAAATTGACCCACCCATCCAAAATGGCCTCAGGAGAAGGTGGATGGGAAACAGGACCCACAGGCTGCCCAGGAAGACTAATGCTGTGAACAAGGGTAACTCCTGTCTCTAAGCTGGGGCAGTGTGGGAGCTGATAGTCCCACTGGTCTGGCCAGAGTTGTGTCTGGGTTGTAGCCAAAGCTATGGCCTCGCTTCTTAGGAGGGTATGGTCACATGGAGGATGGGGGGGGGGACGACAGACACATTTTTTTTTATTAGATAGATTCCAAGAACTTTTGGTACTGAGAGATTTTTCCCCCTCTTGTTTGAAACTAAGTAATTTACAATGTAGTCATAACGTGGGGCTGGTGAACCTAGTGTGATTGGTAGAGTGGTTGCCTAGCATGCATGGAGCCCTGGGTTTGACCCTCAGCACTGCATACAGCCAGGTGTGGTGGTGCATGCCTGTGATCCCAGCACTTGGAAGGGGAGCCAAGAGGGTCAGAAGTTCAGTCATCCCTGGCTCTGTAACAAGGTTCGAGCCAGTCTGGGCTATATGAGCTTTTACCTCAAAAACAAACAAACAAATAAATAAATCTGTCATAATAAAGCCGTCACAATTCACTGGACCATTTCTAAGAAAGTAGCAGAAGTAAACTGTGTCTTCCTGCTAATATGAGCACAGTTCAAAATGCATATAGAACAGGGTTTGACAGTGAACATCTCTCAACCCAACATTGGTGAGTCTCAAGCATGAGGAATATGAGTTAAAAGTCATCCCGGGATATGTAGCTAGACCCTGTTTCCGAAAAAAAAAATGCAGATAGATAGATAGATAGATAGAATAGGTAGGTATGTAGATAGATGATAGGCAGGCAGACAGACAGACAGATGAGTTAAGAAGGCCTGCGATATAAAGATGAAGCTAACGTATGGAGAGAGGGCAACATCCTTGGGCACTTCCACCAGGGCAGCAGAGGGTCTAGCAGTGGGGTCACTTTGTCTCCTCCAGGTTTCCCATGAATGCACCATGCCTGCTGAATGGAACTTCTGAGCTCTGAGACAGCTTTCCCTAGATACCGGAATGACATTTCTCAAAGGGCCAAATGAAACACCAGCACATGCTTGCAAAGGCCTTCCCAAAGCCTTCAGATGGGCCGTTCTGTTTTTGAAGAAGACTGAGGCATGCTAGGCTTCTCATACTTATTGTCCCATGGCATTCTGTTTTAAGAGCACATCCCCCCTTCGGCAAACTCAGGCTTCCCCTCTGGAAAAGGCAGCACAGGGGTGTGCGACCAACAGCACCCCAGTTAGATGTCCCGTCAAGGTCTTATCTGAGAGCCACTCAACCACTTTCAAGGAGCTCAGATCCAAGTGGTCCCTGACTTAGGTCAGCCCAGCTTAGGACGTGTTGATTTGGTGGTGGTGAGACAGCCATGTGCATCCAACAGAAACCCTTGGGTTTGGGGTAGGGGACGCAAGGATCCAAGTTCCGATGTTTAGCATCACATTGAGAAGCCAGTCAGGGAGGAGAGGGAAATGGACACCAATGATCTCAGGGACTCGCTGGCCAGCCAGCAAATTAAAAATGACAAGCGTCAGATTAACCCTGGAGAGGTATATAGGGGGACAACTGACATCGACCTCTGCACTGTTACACACAAACATACACACATGAAAATGAAGGTTGGGGCCTGGTCACATGACCCAGACTGGGCTCGTTGATGGTTAGTTGTGTGAACCCGATACAACCTAGAAACACCTGGAAAGAGTCTCAGTGAGACCCACTGTGGGCATCACCATTCCCGAGGCAGGGGGAGTCCTGAGCTGCATGAGTGAAGAAATGGAGCTGAGCACAGTCCAGCAAAGGAGTGTGTATGCATTCGTTTCTCTCCCTGCTCTTGGGTGCAACAAGCTCTCTCTGCAGCCTTGACTTCTCCACATGACGGACAGGAACCTGGAACTGTGAGTTAAATAACCCTCTTTTCCTCCAAACTGCTTTTGGACATGGCATTTTTGTCACAGCCGTATAAACAAAACTAGGACAGGCCTCAGACTCACTATGTACCCCCAATCAGTGCAGTCCTGAACCCTTGGGGAGCCCCTGGCTCGGCCCTTCGAGGGCTGGGATTATAGGCTCACACAGCCACACCCAGATCCATCCACAGCTTTCTTCTGTTCTTGTGCACCTGAGTGGCTACTTTCTTTCCTTCTGGCAAGAGTCTAGCCCTTTCTGTGGAATTGCCAAGACAGCAAGCCTTCAAGGTTGCCCACCAGAGATACGCCACAGCCCCATTCCTGCTCAGCAGTCCTGGGTTTCACCACTTGGCCGTGGCTGAGCCGTGAAGTTGCCATGCATAGAACACCCGCGAGGCAGACTGTTGGGCCTGATCTCACATCTCCATCGCTGACTGTTGTGAGCTCTTTCTGAAGGTTTGTCACGGTCCTGGTCCTATGTTTCAAGTGAATGTGATCAGTATCCAAAATAAATGGGACATC